CAGTACTGGATTTTACACGTAATAATAGGTACTTAAGGATGTCGTCACTCAGTAAAAATAACATCAAGGAAGAAATCTGAAGGCGTGTATGGTCTTGGCTTGTTCACTTACTGATTTTTGTGGTGTTTGCAAACCATCGAATCTCTTTGAACATTGTGTCTTGCCCTTCAGATTCGGCAAATTCAGGAGGTTACACCCTCCACCTTATATTGTTCAGTTCAGTTCAGTCGCCCAGTCGTGTCTGACTCTTTGCAACCCTATAAACCGCAGCACGCCAGGCCTCCCTGTCCATCACCAACTCCTGGCGTTTGCCCAAACTCATGTCCATTGAGTTGGTGATGCCATCTAACCGTCTCATCCTCTGTTGTCCCCTTCTCTCCTGCCCTCAATCTTTCCCAACATCAGGGTCTTTTCAGATGAGTCACCTCTTCACATCGGGTGGCCAAAGGATTGGAGTTTCAACCTCAACATCAGTCCTTCCAATGAACACCCAGGACTGATTTCCCTTAGGATGGACTGGTTTGATCTCCTTGCAGTCCAAGGGACTCTCAAGAGTCTTCTCCAACACCACAGTTCAAAAGCATCAATTCTTTGGTGCTCAGCTTTCTTTATAGTCCAACTCTCACATCCATACAAGACCACTGGAAAAACCAGAGCCTTGACTAGATCGACCTTTGTTGACAAAGTAATGCCTCTGCTTTTTAATATGCTGTCTAGGTTGGTCATAACTTTCCTTCCAAGGAGCAAACGTCTTTTAAGTTCATGGCTGCGCAATCACCATCTGCAGTGATTTTGGAGCCCAAAAAAATAAGGTCAGCCACTCCTTCCACTGTTTCCTCATCTATTTGCCTTGAAGTGATGGGACCAGATGCCGTGATCTTAGTTTTCTGAATGTTGAGCTTTAAGCCAACTTTTTCATTCTCCTCTTCCATTTTCATCAAGTGGATCTTTAGTTCTTCTTCACTTTCTGCCATAAGGGTGGTGTCATCTGCATATCTGAGGTTATTGATATTTCTCCCGGCAATCTTGATTACAGCTTGTGCTTCCTCCAGCAGAGCATTTCTCATGATGTACTCTGCATATAAGTTAAATAAGCAGGGTGACAATATACAGCCTTGATGTACTCCTTTTCCGATTTGGACCTAGTCTGTTGTTCCATGTCCAGTTCTAACTGTTGCTTCCTGACCTGCATACAGGTTTCTCAAGAGGCAGGTCAGGTGGTCTGGTATTCCCATCTCTTTCAGAATTTTCCACAGTTTATTGTAATCCACACAGTCAAAGGCTTTGTCATAGTAGAGCAGAAATAGATGTTTTTCTGGAACTCTCTTGCTTTTTTGATGATCCAGCGGATGTTGGCAATTTGATCTCTGGTTCTTCTGCCTTTTCTAAAACCAGCTTGAACATCTGGAAGTTCATGGTTCATGTATTGCTGAAGCCTGGCTTGGAGAATTACTTTACTAGTGTGTGGGATGAGTGCAGTTATACTGTAGTAGATAAGAAATTTATACAAAGAAGACCTCAGCTCAGAAAAGGAATTCTGGAGATGATAGTCTGTTAGGTCCACTTTGGATCCAAAATCATTAGTCAAAGAAGAGAGAACCACATGGCAGGGCATTTTTGGTTAAGGATCAGGGTGTTTCAAGGACCAGAAGTTTGGTAAATAAGAAGGTGCAGACTTTGAAATGAGACCAGGTTCTTAATCACAACAGAAATAACAGCAGCAAAAATCATAAGATTGTAGGAAATGAAGGTGCAAATTTTCAAAGATAGAAAAAAGCACAGCTGGAAGATGCCAATAACAAATAGGAAAACTTGACAGATGAGGTGGTTTCTTTTCCATAAACTTAGAATTTTCTCATTGCTTACCTCTAATGATCTTGTTCCCATTTCTTACTTAGTTAAGGAAATTCATTTACCTTTTCTTTTTTCCACTCATCCTTCTTTCCCACCCTAATCCTTTTCATTGTTTCACTTGCAGTCAAAATTCATGAGATCGAGAACCATGCTAGACATCATGCAGCTGAATAATTTTGTTAGGATAGTTAGCTGACATTATTGTGAAAAATGGACAAAGTGCACCAAACGATAACATTTTAGATTTTGCTTTTCTCTATAAAATACTCTTATATGAGTATTCTTATTGTACTTACTTGCAGTCACTTATCACTGTAACAGACCACACCAAAAGTCAGTGACATCCTAAGTATTACCTTGTTCAGACTGGTTGGTTGGAGTGCCTCTTCTCATGTGGCTCATTCTCCTGGAGACAAGTGGGCTACCCCGGTGTTCTTAATGAAGTGCACGCATTCAAGAGGCCAAGCCCAACCATGCAAGCAGATTTCATGTCTGTGAATGTGCCACTGATTTTGCTTGTCTCATGGCCAAGCCAGCCATCAGTGTAGCAAGGAGATACATCTCTGAAGCTTCAGTGTTTTGGCCATCTGATACAAAGAGCCAACTCATTGGAAAAGACCCTGATGCTGGGAAAGATTGAAAGCAAAAGGAGAAGGGAGTGGCAGAGGATGAGATTGTTAGATATCATTACCAACTCAATGGACATGAATTTCCGCAAACTCCAGAAGATAGTGGAGTACAGAGGAGCCTGGTGTGCTGCAGTCCATGGGTCACAAAGAGTTGGACACGACTTAGCCACTGAACAGCAACAACTAGTGGGAGGAAGTGAGAAGTGGCAAAGTGTGTGGATACAGAGATGGGAGAAGAATTGGGAGTCTAATGCAGGCTTTGTAAACTTTTCTGGGTTTTACATTCTTTTTACATCTTAACCTTGTACTCGTTAACATAGACACACACACTATTTTTGTAATCTTAGCTTAATATTATTTAAGCTTGGCTTAATATGATTTGTAAAGATTAACTTCTATATAGATTATATATTTGCTGTTTAAAAATACACAGTTGTTTGTTTAAATTAAACCGTGCTTCTAGACTCATCTGTATCAAACTCATTTGAGATGCTTACTAAAAATGAAGATCCCTTAGCAGATCCAGATGCTTCTGGAATCACAATCTCTGGGTGTGGGGCCTGGGAATCTTCTTTACTGGTAAATTTATCAGGACATTGTCTTGCACATTACAACTCAGAACTTCTTCGTTAGTGGAAGGATATTTGCATTGTTTCTATTCTAATTGCATTATAAATAATAGCCAGCATCATTTGTACAAGTGATTAATTTATTTGGGGTATTCAGAAATCTTTCCCTGAAACACAATTGAATAATTTGCAGTTGAGGAAAATTGTATTCTGTGTAAAGAATAGGGTTTGGAGTGCTGGTGTGGGTGGTTACAAATAAGCTTGTAAAATCTTTCAAGTATTTTATGTTCACTAAAATAAAATGTTGAATTAGATAAAGAGAATTTCTGTATAATTTGTATACATCTTTAATTTGTAATGTTGGGCATTGTGTAAGTTAGTTGTGGTTCCATTGCTTGCTACTGATAATTTTTAAATGAAAGTAGAAAAGTTGACATGTCTAAAGAGAATTTTACTTTTCTCATATTTCAGCACTCTAAATTCAGCAGTTCAGTTCTTTTATTTAACTATTTTGTTTATATGACCTTTGTTCATATACTTTATTATGCATTTTATTTTTAGTCTCAGATTTTTATGGAAATTAACATTTGTTGATGTCATAGCAGATACTGCCAGTGGCTGTTCAGTGTACATTCTTCGTTCTTTTCTTTTTCCTTAGCAACAGATTCGAAGTGGAACTTTTTGCCTAACTGAAAAATACATTTCTCAACCTTCTTTGCAACCATGAAGGGCCACATTACATGACTTTGTTCTGCTCAGTGAATGAGGCACATGGGGCTTGTTAAAGAATGTGGAATCATTTAGCAGACACTCTTTGTCCTTTGCCCTGTATCTTATCTAGAACTTGGACTGGATGCTAGAGGAGGAAGTATAGAGTGACATTTAATAAATGTCATGTAAGAATGTTTAGTGGGAAGACAAGATTTTACAGATCCTTTTATTCTAGTGGGGACTTGCTTTCCATGTCATATCACCCATTGAGCTTTCTCTATTTCATGATTCTGTCTTCAGTTTTGGGGAACTTGTATTAAAAAATGTAGAGATAGAGGGAGGACCATATTCTTAATTAGGGAAGTTTAGGAAAGGGTTTTGGTAGTAGAATCTTATCCTACCTGTTTTTCTCTTTAGTAGAGTATGGTAGATCAATAGAGTGTAAACACATCTAAAGCAAATGGGCCCAAGTGACTCAGACAGTAACGAATCTGCCTGCAAAAAAATCTGGGAGATGCAGGTTTGATACCTGGGTTGGGAAGTTCCCCTGGAAAAGGGAATGACAACCCACTCCAGTCTTCTTGCCTGGAGAATCCCATGGACAGAGGAGCCTGGTGGGCTACCAGGCTCGCAAAGAGTTGGACACGACTGAGCGACTAACACACACACAAAGCAAATGGGGGCAAATAATCAACTTTATTTTGGATCTTTTATGACAGGTTGGAGAATGAGGTGTTGCTTTCCCCCTTGAATAGGGTGTGGTGGTTTAGTCATCCCCCGGTGTAATATATCAACCTGCTGCTTGCTTGCCAAAGGCATGTTTTTTCCATACATCCTAAATGCCTAGATGCTGGCTGACTTTAGGGGCAGGGAGAGATTCATGGGGCTGCCTTAATTTCATTCTGGGGTTTCATCCCCTAGTTGAAGTACACCAGTGGAGACCTGTTTCCCTTAGTTCTTCTTAGGTTTAGCTGTCACAGAGATCACTCCTGTTATTAGACGGCACATATCAGACAGTGAAGAATCAGCTTTTAGAAACATGAAAATGGAATAAGGACTCACGCACCATTCTTCCTAAAATAATGACATTTATTCAGTCTTTCTCAAGTTCTATATTTTTCTGTTTTTTACTCTATTTTGTGTTTTCTGTTCTTTTCCCCTAAGGTCATTTATTTTCTTGTCTTTGTACATTTTCAGATTTCGGAGTATAATGCTTTCGGTTTTTCCCTTCTTCCAGCACCAGCAGACGTTTCTGAATCAGCTACGAGAAATAACGGGGATTAATGATGCCCAGATTCTACAACAAGCCTTGAAGGTATGGCCTCTGTTTCACAAGATACAGTTTCTGTTACACCCTCATCTCTACTGCCTACCATATTGGAAAGTTGAGTTTTTTAGTTATACAATGGGTAGTACCATAGATACAGGGAAGAACTTTTATAAACTAAAGGCCTTACTTAACATAGCATTGGACTATAAAGAAAGCTGAGCACCGAAGAATTGATGGTTTTGAACTGTGGTGTTGGAGAAGACTCTTGAGAATCCCTTGGACTGCAAGGAGATCCAGCCAATCCATCCTAAAGAAATCAGTCCTGAATATTCATTGGAAGGACTGATGCTGAAGCTGAAACTCCAATACTTTGGCCACCTGATGCAAAGAACTGACTCATTTGCAAAAACCTTGATGCTGGGAAAGATTGAGGACGGAAGTAGAAGGGGACAACAGAGGGTGAGGTGGTTGGATGGCATCACTGACTCAATGGACATGAGTTTGAGTAAGCTCCAGGAGTTGGTGATGGATAAGGGAGCCTGGCCTGCTGCAGTCCATGGAGTTGCAAAGAGTCAGACATTATTGAGTAACTGAACTGAATTAACATAACATACTGCAATTTTGAGCACATTAGCTTTCAGCACCGTGATGTTCCATGATGCCTTGGAGTGAAAGAAGACCTCCCTCCACATAAAACAGTTTTCATGCGAAATGGAGTGATGGAGTGATGTGACTCCCAAGTACTAATGGCCAGTTTTACTCAAGAGACATTTTAGTGTTTAGTTGGGGATGGAGGGGTAGAGTGGCATAGAAGAGAAAGAGGAGTTGGGAGAAAATTAATACAGTATTAGAAGCTTCCGATTTACTGTTCCAGGAAGGAGAAATATAAATCAGCTAACCTTCAGTTAATTGAACATTTATGATCATTCAACATCAAACTTTGATTATGCACAAAAAAAGGGCATGATTTTTGTTGTTTCTTGTGAAATATACTCATTGCCACACAGAGGCACCCAGATGAGTCAGATCACACAGATACGAAGATTGAAAGAGAGCGAATGAAGGAAAAATGTTCAAGAACTAGAACTCCACTTGAAGTGTATTTATAGATCACTGCTAAAGGCTCACATCAACAGTGCAGCAGTTGTGCTACTGTAGGCACACATACAGCTTCAGTCCTTTGCACGTTGCTCTGAAAGACAACATTAATTATATTACTTTTGATTTGGACCCAGAAGTACTTCATTTGTTTCTAGAAATGATTTATCTTCTGCATGGTTGTAATCATAATCATCATCACTGTAGTGGTGATAACTAGCACTTAGTAAGCCCTTAGTGCACTAGGCGCTACTCTGAGTGCTTTGTGTGGCTAACTCCTCCTCCTAGTGACTTTGAAGTAGCTGTTATTTTTATGTCCCTTTTAAAGGGTAAGGAAACAGAGAGGTTAAAATGACTTGCTGGAGACCACATACTTAACATGTGGAGGAGCTTGGAATAGAAACCAAGCAGCCTGCTCCCAGTACCACACATAATTTCTGCTTTTACTGGAAGCTTTGCTTCAGCTTTTTCCTCCATCAGGAAAATGATCAACCAGTACTGTTAGGAGCATTTTAAAGCATGGTTTATGAAGCCGCTCTTAAGTAGCTGGAAAGGAAGCAAAAATGTCGTACCTCAGTTTTTATGATTATGACATTTAGATGATTGCCAGTCCGTTCTTTATTCTGCTAAATATGACAATCATTCCATGTCTGTTTTCAGAAATGGCCTTTCCCATTCTGTATCACTGAGTCTGGGGTTAGACCCATTACCTTGTCAGGGCAAACTTGGGGAATTCACTTACATTTTTTTTTAAAACTTAGGAAACATGTAGAATATGTTTAATTAAATAAACATAAAAATTAAAGTAGTGTCCACATTTCCTTTGAGGTAAGTTGTGTGACCACGGTGTTTTTTTTTTTCTTTTAAACTTGTTTCAGTTACCAGTATCTAGGGGAGAAAATAGTGTACCTAAATCTTAATTGTTGCTCAGTATAAATTTGTATAATGTTTAATAATGAGTTGACTATCTCAGCATTATACTGACACAGAGTCTATTTTTGGGAGCCACAATGTCATTAATTGATTTTAGCACTTTTATTTTGAGAATCTCTTTGTATGTTCAAAGTAAGTGACCTTCAAGTTGTATAGATCCCTGCTCCATTCAGTTTATCATCATTATCATATGAGGGAGTATATGGAAAGCATTTGGCACATTTCCTGGCACTTAGACAGTGTTCAATAAATGGTAGTCGTTGTTAAAATTGTTTTATGTCTTGTTTGTTACAAACTATAGACTATGTTAAACTCATATTTTGAATGAGTCCTTAAAGAGTCTAACAGCAGTTTTGATAGATAAAGTGAAGTGAAGTCGCTCGGTCGTGTGCGACTCTTCGCAAACCCGTGGACTGTAGCCCACCAGGCTCCTCCATCCATGGGGCTCTCCAGGCAAGAATACTGGAGTGGGTTGCCATTTAATGGTGCACTCCTACTGTTTTCTCTCCTCAAAGGCTGTTAGAATTGGAGTTGGGGTGAGTTGTTCCAGTTGCTCAGACATCAAATTGTGGAATCATCCTGGTCTTTCTCTTTTTATCCCTCCCCACGTTTAATATGATAGCAAATAATATTGGGTTCTGCTTATGATTCTCTCCTATAGTCTGTTCCCCACCTTTACCCACAGTAATCCTTTTAAAATGTAAGTCATACCATGTCATTTCTGTCCAAAACCTTCCACTGGCTTCCAGTTAAACTTTGTAAACTAAATTTCTGAAGGCTTCCACAGTATTATGTGTTCTGGCCTTTGATACAAAGATAGCTTCATTATTAATACCTGGATTTCATAATGTGGTTTCAATGAGCAGTCATAGAGCTAGTGTTGTTTTTATTGTTAACTGTAGAGAGAATATAGAGATAACTAGGCAAGTTTCTCTCATGATTTTGTTGTCAAAAATTCTTTGTGTTTTTAGCATCTGTTTTTCTTCTGAATTTTTAGAATATTGTTTATGTATTTAATTTGGGTAGAATTTTCATCTCCTCAGTATTCTGGAGTTCTGTGTGTCTCTCTGTCAAGCTTTCAGGCCACTGATGCTGTTTTCTTCTTATGAGTCTGATATTTGCTTGTTAGTTTGCCTCTAAGTAGGCATTCAGTGTAAATATTAAAGAGAATATCTGTTATTGTTCTTCTTTGCTGAAGTACTATTTTTAAATATTTGTTTTTCACAGTTTTAGATAGCAAGTTCCAGAAAACATTTTTTAGTTTGTTGATTTGCTTCGAAGTTTGTTTATGATTGGACTTTTGTTAAGCAGATATAAAAAAGCAATGGAAAACAAATTATTTATATAATTGATTTTTGCATTATATTAGTTTTAATTAATAGATAAAGGAATTTCTGTTGATATAGTATACTGTGTTTACAGTGAATTTATATTGTAAAATTAAGACTTACATAGTATAATTTTAAGTCTGAAAATTTACTATTAGTGTTGTTATGGAGAAAATTACATAAATCATATGCAAGTGTATACTTACTGCAAAATATTTGATGTTCTGTTCTTGATATTTGAAGGATAGTAATGGAAACTTGGAGCTAGCAGTGGCTTTCCTTACTGCAAAGAATGCCAAGACCCCTCAGCAAGAGGAAACAACTTACTACCAAACAGCGCTTCCTGGCAATGATAGATACATCAGTGTGGGCAGCCAAGCAGATACAAGTAAGTTTACTTCTCTTTCTTAATATATTAATTAGAATGTAATGAAAACTTTTGCTTGGGGCTGTGTTTTGTTTAAGCAGAGGTGAAGGACGAAAAAAGAAATGACTTTGGCTTTGGCTCTTCTTGTTGAAAAGTGCATATGTTTTTATCAGCTGCTGTATTTTTTTCCAGTTGAGAAGTAAAAGATTATATTTAACTTATATATTCTTTAATAAAACATTTCATATAGTATTGTTTTAAAATATGAAACATCTAAAGGTGTTGTTTATTACAAATTTCTAGAATTTTAAATAGGGCACAGTCATTTGTTTTATAGATGTTAAGTGTTGGTAGAGACCTTAGTATTATTTTTGAAGATTAAGTATTTTTTTAATTACTGGTATGATTTACTGTTTAACAGGGTTTTCCTTCCCTCAACTCCAACCCCTCTCCCAAATAGATCTTGGAAGAAGGTTTATACAGCCGAACAAAATAAACAAACATGCGTGTACACATACGAACATACAGAAAATTTGACACAGAACTCTTAACTTTTCTTCATTATATGAATAATTTATGCTTATATAGCCGAGTTTTTTTTTAATCTTTGTTTCTATCTCATTATGATGTAGTAACTGCATTATATACACTGTAGGTATTTCTTTGCATTCTGGATTTGAAAAGTGTGGTCACTAACTTGTCCTTAAAGAGAATTTTTTGGTTTCGTTTGTAAATGTTCTTAAAGTTAGGAAACAGCCAGAAAGATTCCATTCATATAGATGTTTACAGCTACTGATTGGCATTAAATGCTGTTTAATGTTGTTGATAAAATATCTTAATCTCAGAATTTCAAGGTAATCTTAGTATTTTTGCTCCACAAATGGTCTTGTGTCTCCAAAGCTGGGATACTCCTATCTCACACAGATAATAGGTGATGGCAGAAGCTTTGTGTAAGACAGACTCAATTCCTGTGTCCAAGTTCAAGACAAACTGTGTCTTGGCCCCTACCTACATCTCTAACTTCATTTTCCACTGTTTTCCTCTTCTCACTTTACACTGTAATAATGGAAAATAGCTTGGAAGTTCTCATCCACACAATGCTATTTAATTTCTCCTGTCGTTACACTTGTTACTTCTGTCTGGAATCCCCCCTAGCCTTCACCACCAGTCTGATTTCTTCTGGGGTTCTAAGCCGTTGCTCAGGAACTGCTGGCTTGAGAGTATTTTGTCTAGCTTCTATGTTAAACTGAGTGCTTCTCTTAACACCCAGAGTGTACTTTTGTCTTAGTGAGTACTGTGTTATTTTGCAATTATTTGCTGTGCCTTTCTTGCTTACCAAACTGTAAACTTAACAGGGCAATAGAGTGTCTATAGTCCCACCATTATACTAGGATGTCATGGTTTCTCAAAAAAGTGCTTGTTGAGTTATTTTTGATAATATGTGTAAGCTATTTTGAAACTAATGAAAGTTCTCTTGAACAAGATTGAGAAACATGTTATAAGAAGTTAGAAAAAAGATAGTGGTATAAATAGAGAAGGAATTAATATGTGAGAATAACATTTCATATCTTTTAAGGTTCTGAGACTTGGGAGGAAAATGAAGTTAGGTAGAAAAAGGAAAAAAGATTTTGACTGAAGACAGGTGGTTAAAGTGAAAGAAACAGGAAATTGAGTAGACATGGTTCAGTGTTTTAGTTGAAAGGATGGAAAGATTTTAGAATGATAGCTATGAACTCTTAATATAGATGGTAGACTTTGTGACATGAGACAACATATGCAGGGAAGAATTAGGATTATAAGACTGTCATCAAAAAGATACCTTATTTGTTGTGTGAAAATTAGAAAATATTCTTTGAGCCACATGTTAACACCTGTTCAAGAATTTTGACAAGGAGTAGTGAAAATGTTATGGACAGAATGAAAGATTTGAATAGGTACTCTTAGGGAGAAAGCAACTTGATTTCAGAAAGTGTGTGTCCCATTTGTTAATTGAAAAAAATTTGTATGTGTGTGTGTATATGTGTAGCTCTTGAAAAGTATGCACCAAGTACTTTTATATTTCCCTTGAAAGAAATGATAGATGGAATTTCTGGTTTCATCTCATTGATTTCCTGAACAAATTGCTTGTTGTTTTAATTTCTTTATTGATAAACTGAGCTATCCTTCTAACCAGAGTGCTAACTCATATTTAATAATTGAATAATTTGTATAGTATATTCATAAAGTTGGTTTGAGATTATTGAGAAAAAAAATTGTAAAATTATAGTGAGGTGACTATACTATAATAGTATTAGTATCAAAGTGGGAAAATATAGCTTATGAGGTAAAAATAATTTTCTTCCATTTTACAAATTATATTTTTTTCAGATTTTTAAATAGGACTGCCTTTAGGAAATAGTCTTGATTCAACATTTAAATTTAGTCATGTCATAATAGTATTACATGGTTTAAAACTGAGAAAGTAAATGTCATGCATTCAGCACATTCTTTAAATTACTATGCTATAATTGCTAAGGAAAAATGAAATCTCTTGTTTATTTTTAATTCTTGGAATGAGTGGTTAAATAAGGGAAGGACAGAAAATAAATATATATGAGTATATATATTTAAATGCAGACCTCTTGAATAAAAGTGTAAGTGCTAAAGGAGTGTGGAGTGTTGGAGTGATCAGAGTGTGAGGAAGTTTTCAAGGGATTGTTCTCGATGAAAACCTCTTTTTGAGCATTTTCTTAATTTTCTGTGAAATTCCTTGTTACTTGAAAACTGACCATACTTGAACTTAATTCTTTCAAATAATGGCGAGGGTTTTTGTGTTTTCAATTTCTTCTTTCTTTTTTTTTTTCAAGTGTAAAATCTGTTATAAACAGGGCTAAGGCATAAACAAACCTTGCTAACTTTTTGTCATCTGTTGGTTGTAGTGCTGACAAAACATTTATGTTTTGAAATAAAAGTCTCTAATGCTAAACACATAATGGTTCCTTGTTGTTATAAACTAGAATAAAACTTGTAACTAAAGGTCTCTTTCAGAAGAACTAAACACGTGTTTTTTGGATGACTAGAAAAATTTAGTTTTCAAATGAATGTTCCATAGAAGTCACATTTTGGGTTGTAGGGCAATTTTCATATACCCAAGTACCTCAGAAAAAAAGCAAATTATGTCATTTGAGAGGAGAACACATGTTTGTGAACACAGTGTTTGTGAACTTTACTATTGAAGAAGTAATTACATTTTCAGTAGTTGGTAGGGTGATTATTGGCCTCAGTGTATTTTTACTTTTCATTTTTGAGAGAAAAGGTAACATTTCAAGGAAAGCTTGTACTCTGCATAAAGAAGTTAAGGAGTATTGTTTTGGTAACATTCCAAGCTATAAATAAATACTGTTGGGGGGGTACTTTTTTGTAGTACTGTTAGCATATAGTTGAGGCACATTTAAAAATTACTTTTATCCCATTTAGACTGGATATTGTGAATTGTCAAATGAGTGCCTCCTGCCTCCAGCTTAAACGAGAAGTAAAATGATTGTGTTAGAAATTTTGCAATTAAAAATACAAAGAGGACTAGGAAACAGTGCAAGATACTGAGATATCATAGGTGTATTTAATAATCAGAGAAGAGATTGTGTGGTTTTTGTGTCATGGCAAACTGTCATCGACATGACCATACAAGGCTTTTGCCCAATTTGAAATCAGATAGTAATATTCTTTCTTTCTTGATCATTAAATTCTTTTGAACTTTTTTAAAACAGAGAAAAAACAGTATATGCCCACCAGAACAAGATGTGCTACAATTGCGCAATCAAATCATGGATCAAAAGATAAGAGGGATTTGGGTAGGTAATTTTAACATAGAAAATAGTGCCACATATTGACTTAAGTTTTAGAGAAATTAATATAGCACACTGGTGTGAGTGTTAAGTGGTAGACCCTTCACAAATTTAAAAGCATTGTATTTTTTTTTTAATTGCTGTATTTCTTTTTACAGAAGAACTTGAATTATTTGATAAGGATTGCACAGAAAGTGAGAAAGATGTTAAGTTCTGTCCTGGAACTCTAGTCTTGGTTGTACTGCTTCACTAGTCTAAAATTGATTTTTTTTTTTCCTTTTTAGATTTAAAGCAAAAATTTTAGACAGATTCTAGTCTAGTGTTCTCATCCCTACTGAGGGTAAATCACTTATGTTGAGAAGTTTAGGATTTACTAATTGAACACTGATAATTTTTTCCATTCACCAAATTTGTTAAATAAGCAACTGCAGAAAGAAAAAAGTGACATAGAAGTTAAATCTCTTTCTGTAGAGATTTCTAATGCATAATGCGTGATTCACCAAAAGTCAGTTAAGCCTAAAAATGAGATGCTACAGTGGTATGCAAATAACTTGTAGTTGATTAGATGCAGTTAGGCATACATTCTGTGTTAGACATACACTGTAGAATTGCTTGTATAACTTTATTTTCTGTAATTTTAGGACAAAATGATAGCTGTGGCATTTGCACTTTTTGTTGACTAATACAGAATGATAATTTTTAATTTTTTCCAAGTGAGAAAACATGATGAAATAGATGACAAACTCAGGATATGGCTCCTTTATTATCTCTTTTCTTAACAGTGCTGCTGTTATAAATTTAGCAGAAACTATTAAAAACAGAGCAACACCATTTAGAACTGAGTTAATACAGTTGCCAGTAGTTACATGTGACAACTTAAATTTAACAACAATTTAAATAATCCTGAATCTCAGTTTTTCTGTTGCCATAGATACATTTAAAATGGGCAGTAGTCATCAACATGTAACTAGTGGCTACTGTATTGGGCTGTGTGGATAATAATACATTTCCATCATCACAGGAAGTTTTATTGGACATTACTGTTTTGGAGAATCTGAGTTTAGCAATGATAAGGTTGGAAAAGAATGGGAGAGTGCAGCGAGCAGCACAATTTCTATTATGTCTTCTTGCTTTTAAGTATTCTTTTAACATGACACCTTGTTATGCTATTTGTCCTTTATCTGGAAAAAGTTTTCG